AGTCGTGTTTCGCGGCCGCTGTTGCTGCTCTGGTGATGCTTTTCACGGCGTGTTGGTGTTGTGTTCATTTTGCAGGTCGGGAAAACGGAAGGGATGCGACACCGGTCGTGCTCTGTCAGCACTTGAATGGCAGCCTCCTTTGCACACTTGAACCTTGGGTTGCACATCTGTAGTATTAAATTGACAGCAGATAAGAAAACTAAAATCAGCTATAATTGTACTTAATGCACATACAAGTTCTTAATAAATAGATTAGCTCTAAATTATTACAGCTTCTCAGTTTTCGTGCAGTCTACCTCCTGTCAGTCTTTGGCTCTTAAATTTTGGATCATCCTTGGATTGTGATTATTCAGTATCTCAGAAACTGAAGTCCGTGGTTTCAGGTTAATAAGTTAGAATAGGAGGCTTCTCTTGCGTGACCAGAGGAGTATTTGCATTCAAATATTAATACTTCAATTACTTCATGAAGTGTTAAATGTTTGAAAGGTTACATATTTGTAATTTGAAAAGTAAATAAGACTTTTAATTCTACATGTAAAAAATAATTATGTTAATGACAGGTGCTTACTGTGCCTAAACCTGACTGTCAAAGTTGTCTGAATACACAGAAGTGTATTTGAAGTTAGTGACAGCTGTAGGTGCTTGAAAGTAAAGAATAACAAGTGCTTGCATGTTGATTGGCAGGTGACAGAGCTGGTACAAATAAGCTCTTCTTCATATTAACAGCTAAAGCATTCGCCCACTCTCTTGGGAAGCATTTATTTCAAAATTAGGCTAGGTCTCCCCTAGTTTCCACTCTTGAGCTGCAGTTGTAGGCCTCACTTCATAGCGACTCTCATGGAAACCCCCAAAACCAGCTAAAGATAGAAGAATTGCACAGTTTGACATCAGGGTAAATAGAACGGAAAATAAGTGAGACCTTCTTTTAGTGGTAGTTACCTTTTGATTCAGGTTGTAACTCATGGGACTTCACCCTTGAGTCTTGTCCAGATTAGTTAACCTGTGCTGTGATTTATATATATGTTAGGGTTTTTATTAAAAAAAAAAAAAGGGAAGAAGGAGCAGTATTCACAGATTAAGTACTTACTGTTTTATCTGCCGTTTTTATGTGGCATCTTTAATACAGATATCTTGATGTGTAGTAACACACCTTGGTCATTAGCTGCTGAAAGTAGCAGTATAGTAGTTTAAGTAGTAGTTATAGTTCTTATTCTAAGAATAAAAGCCAAAAATCAAGATATAAATTGTAGCAGAAAAATTACTCAAACTTCCAACAAGTAGTGTAGTAGTAGCAACCACTTTGAACTTTTGATAAGAAGTTTCATCAAAAAAAAAAAATGCCTGTGGCATAAAGTTACAGAAAGGAGCATGCTAAGCAAAAGAAACAAAAAGGCAGCCAACATCTGTTGACCTCTGTTTTCTTTTATTGCATTGGTAAAATTTCATCCACACAAAAAGAAAAATGGTGGGAGACAGTACAGGTGATCGCTTAAGACAATATTAAAATAGAGATACTTTGTCACAGTAAGCAACAGACGATGTTAAGAGAAGGTAATATGTGCAAAGCTGAAATAAAGGATAACAGAAACAAATAAGAGAGCCCACAAAACCAGCAAGGCATATGTCATAGGATAAGTAAAACAATAACTGAGGCTGAAAAGTAAATACAAACTTGGAAAATATGATACATATGTAGAGAGGTAAGAGGTAGAATCCTTAAAATTCATGTCTCATTTAACTGGAAGACATCCCCCATCTGTTTAAGGAGAAAGAAGGTGTTCTTTCAGACCTACTGTTGTGAACACTGAACGCATTTAACTTGAAACTTGCAGTGGAAAGTTCAGCATGGGCCTGAGTGTTTGAGATTGGGGTGGTAACCTGAGAGGTACTGTGAATTGGCCGTTTTAAGGCATGTAATTAGATGCAGAAGTGTAGCATCATTAAACTTAATCACTGAATCCCGGAAAACAATGCAAGAATAGTAACGTGTGGCTTCATAAAGGCAGCTGTAGGGCTTTACCAGCGTTAAGGCATCATAATAGCCATGGGAGGGAGGAATTCAGCATCTCTTTCAGGTCTATTAATTTATTCAATTGATTGAAATGTGTTGAGATATTTTTTTCTAACTGTGGAAATGGGAGGCCAACAACCTCATCCATCAGAATTCTGGAACTTGTTGTGTAGTCTCACTGAAGTCATTAGGATTATACAGATGCTTAAGTGACTTACTGAAGGCCTTATATGACTTTTCTTAGTACTGCGGCCATCTTACCCTATATAAAAAGTCTTCAATGTTATGTACTATTTAGCATTCTTTGGTTTATTACGCTTAGAGTATTTGTGGTTTTTCAATATGATAGCGCACTAAGGCCGCTGTGAATATTTGAGATGTCTGATCTTAAAGTAATAATTTTGCTGAAATTCTCAATGATGTGTGGGGCCTTAACAGAGTAAAGTTGGTTTGGATCATAGACATAGATTATTTTTTGACTGAATGAAATACTAATGTATCTTGATATTCATTTTTTATTTATTTATCCATCAGGAAGTGATGTTTCTGTGTATCATCTGCTGTTAGTCCATCAAGTATCTAAATCTGTCTCCCCCTCATGACTGTATGCGCAGACGTATTTTTCTTCTTTTTTTGTTCTCCTTGACTTGGATGTTTTTAGCCAAGTTTATTAAAACAGAAACTCTAGTTCATGCTAGGAAGGCATTTTATCTTTGTAGCAAAGTCTTTTCAGTTGTGAAATGTAACTAAATAAGGTGATAACCTGATCTGTATGACAGAAAATCTTGATAGACCAGTAATACCCTTTCTATTAAGTATTTGACTTGAGATCTAAAATAATTACAGAGGTATAATTGCTATGAACCCTTACGGAGTATTTATGTTCTACAGAGTGGCTCATGAAGTAACTGTAATAGTTTCTACTTTCTCATACTGTAAATACTTTTTAAATTTTGGGTCAGACTTGGGTCTTTTTCACCAAAACAATTTGTTTGACAAAGCTTAAAAGAACTTGAGCTAAGATGTAATCAATTTAGATTTTTCAATAATATCAGGATTCTGTTAATGAATTGCCAAATATACCCCTTTTGCTGACTGTCATGCAAGCGTTGGCTGTAGAAAATTGAAGAACCAGTATTGAGAGTATAAGAAACAACCCAGACCATAACAATCCTGTAAATGAGGTAAACTGGACAAAACCAGTAAGACTATAACGTGAAGTCCTATAATGCTGTGCAAATTTGTCAGTGCAATTGCAGTTTAAGAGATAGCCATGAATTTTATTAAGGAGCTATAAATATATAAAATTAATCCATATATGCCATTGTGACAGTGTTCTTCAACAATTTCCAGGATTATAAACTCATAGTAATGAAAATCTGTAAATGTGGTGTGTTGGAAAGTAGCATAGAGAGAATGGCCCTGCTTTGGCCCTATGCTGCTCCTGATGCAGATGCAGTTTTGTTGTATCCCGCCTGTCCTGCTGCAAGCTGCAGAAGCGCTACAGTACTCTTTTCTAGGAAAAACATATATGAGATGCTTGAATTCTGTGTGAAGTGAGTAGAAAGTCTTCGAGAGCAAAGGATGTTAATTTTATCAGCGATGAGCCAAAGCAGTCACTGACACAAACAGGTGCAATTCGAGCGCTTTGGAGGTTTTGCATTTGCTTGTGCTAATAGTTGATTGGGGCCCAAGTTTCTAAATCACTGAAAGTAGCCTGTGAACTGTGGTTGTATTACTGCTTTTGTCTTTACTGTGTTAGGGAAGTCTGGTCTCTTATATTGCAAACAGACAATAAACAGTTGCATCATACCATAAAATGTGAAAACCAAAATGACTGCAAATGTGATTAGGATGTTTGAAGGGTTGAAAGGACTAGTAATTCAATATGATGAATGCTGTCATCTCTCTGACCCCTAGCATCTTATCCCAGTTGCTGTCAGGGCAATGAAATTAATGCCTGTTGTGTTTGTGCACGTGTTTCAGATCAGATGAGGACTAAATGTTCTTCAACATTTTTTTGTTGTAATTGTGTTTGATATTTTGTATTGAGTGGCGGTGAAGAAATAATAAAGAAATCATCACTCGGACTGCTTCCTAAAGGATCATTTTCCATCTGAAAGGTTTTGACAATTGAATAAAATCCATGACTGAATTAATGTGCATGGATTTTGTTCAGTGCTTGTGTCAGCTCTCTTCCCTACCCCCATTTCTTGCTGAATAGGAGTTTTTGGAAGTGGTGCTTTCATTAAAGGCATTATGAAATTCTGGCTTTCATGTCATTATGAGGCTCTGGAAGGGATGCTACCTCTGGTGTTTAGCAGAGCTGTAGTATTTCTAATAATTATTTTAGAAGATAGAAGAGATCCCTGTGAAACAATGCAGTTGCTTTCTGGATTGGTATTGAAGCTTGGACATGCTGTGTCTCAACAGGGTTGAAAACTATTTAGGATTAGAGCAAATTAAAACTTTGCAGAGACAGTGAGCTGCTGAACTCTTGACAATGCTCTCCAGTGGACTAGAACCCAGTCTGTATTTTGTCTCTTGGATTCCTAGGAAATCTGTGAGGAGAGCTCGGTGTCTGAGCTTGGAATGGATGCTTACTCTTCTAGCTGTTGTCCAGTTTGCATTGGAAGTGAGCGTTACAAGGTCTGTGCCCATCTCTGTTCCCAGGACAGAGGACAGCAGCCTTCCCAGACTGCCTGCTTTGCCTTTTGAAGCTGTTCAGCCATCCAACAGGTGTAATTCGGGAGGTCCCAAGGTGGAAGTGGGAAGCAAAAGAGGCCCAAGTCTAACGGCCAAATCGCAGTATACTCACATCAGGGAGGTGCTCTGGTTGCTGTTGGTGAGGTGGGTTATCTTCTTTTGGGAATCTGGTTCTCCCCACCCCAGAGTGGGGGAGGTATTATAACCAGGCTTCATCAAGGCAGAGCGAAGGTCCGTCTTCTAACTACTTCCTGTTGGTAGATGTGAGTGACAGGGTCTGACTCCCCTCAGGCTGAGGACCTGTTTCCTGGCCAATGCCATAACTGGAACATCAAAAGGAGACGCCACTTTTCATCCTTCTCCAGTTGTGTTTGGAAAGAAAGTGCTGGCGATTTGCATTTTGGCGTGAGCCTGGCTTTATGAACCTGCGCTTGAGTTCCCTGAGCTCTCCTCCTGGTCTGGCAGCTCAGGAGTGGGACAGTGCTGGGATGGTGTGGCAGTTGAGCAGGAAGGCACAGAGCTGCAGGCGAGGCAGACTTCCAAGCTCAGCTGGGAGCTGAGCAGGCTTCGACAGCTTGCACTTTCCTAGTTCATTCCTTGCAGCAGCAACTCTTGTTAGCACCCGCTCGCATTGTCACTTTGCGGAACTATGTCAGCTGTTGTGAGGCATGTTGAGAGGTTAAGATAATCATAACTTACTATTTGCAAAGGTACAAATAATGAAATTAAGGTCTTGGGGAGTGATAGGAATTTGGGGATTGGTGTGGTGCAAAGATTGAAAAGAAACCTGAGAACGTAGTGAAGTTAATTGAATCACTTTTTTTTTTTTTTTTTTTGTGGTAAACTTCTGAAAGAAGCCCAGTGAAATTTTTCTGCTGTGATACTGGCTCCATGAAGACAGTCTGCCCTGGCTCATGTCATTAGAGATTTCAGTGCACAGCTGTCTTGAGGCATATATGTCTTTTATAATATACAACAAAGTCCTGTGTGTTATTGTAGCAGAAATTAAGTGATACCTGCTAAGCCTGAGGGATGCAGCTTTCAAATATAGATGGATGCCTAATTTTAGACTCTTACGTCCAACGGTGGTGTGAGGCAGCAAAAATAGATACATTAGGTATGTAAACTTTGTGCTCTTTCTTCTTTAGATACTGCAAAAGATACATTTGCATATATCTTAGTTTTTGTTCTGTCTGCCTTTGGCTGTTGTTCCGAAGGTGAAAATGAAGTCCTTCATGAGTGGTTCATTGGGATATCAGCTAGAGTTCTGGTGTGCTGCAGATACGGCTCTGGGGCAATCTGGAAAGAATTTAGCATGGGGAGATTCTACTTTTGGTGCTGGTGCTGATCATTCCCCACCTTCTGCTCAGTATATGGAAAATAAAATAAATAATGTAAAACTGAGGTCTGTTAGCATTTTCAGAAATCAGGTATCCACTAGCTGAGCCAAAACTGCTGTTTGAGTCTAGAAATTAGAAGCTTTGTGTGGAGATTTGCCTAAAATATGTTTTCTAATTGGCAAGTCACAACTGAATCTGTATTTTACATCAGCTTTATCTAATACAGTCTGCAATTTAAAACTAATATATATGTTTAAATTTGTTAGCTACATATATTTACAAAAATCCTAAAAAGTCAAGTAGTAGGTATGAAGAGCTACCTGAGTAGTAGGAGTCAAAGGGCAGGTTTGAATGCACTTATAAAATACTGATTCCAAGTTTTTGGCCAGTAAGTTTTACAATCTCATGGTTTGATTTTAAAATTTTCTGTTCAAATATATTTTAATATCTTGAGATTTTTAGTATATTCAGTTCTTAACATGAGTTGTCCTGATTTTGCATAATTTGTTAGATTTGAAAATACAAATGGTATTTATCACACTTTTTTAAATCCTTTTTTTTTTTTTTTTTCTTTTAAACCTGCATGATTTTTATACTCTTCCCTCTTTTTGTGTTTAACTGTCTTTTGGTAGATACTGGGCCATGGAGTTTTACAGTGCTCTTTCATGCCCTTTGCTTCTGCTTACATAATATGTCCAGATACTTTATGTAAGGATGATTGTTAATTGAGAAGTTTTTTCTCCTCATGCTCTACCATGAGACACTGCTCTTGCTAAGAGAAGATTCTATTCATAGTGAAACATTTGACTCCCATTATTTCAAACTGTTTACCTCAGGCTTACAGGGTATCCTTTTTTCCTCAGTTTTAGTTGTGTTAGATAAAGTAGGCTCAGATGTCAGGCATTTTGACATTACAATTATGAGGAAGTGTATCTTCTTAAGGGAAAAATATTCTTTAGTCTTTGTTCTGTCAATTTGAATTTATGCTATGAAGAGATTTGGGATAAAAAAACTAGGGAAATTATTTTTCTTCTTTTGTTCATTTCATTTCTCTCACATATTACTTGTCATCTTCCCTGTTACAACTAGCTCCTCAGTGTGGGACTAGGAAATAATAGAGTTTATGCTAGTTTGATTTTTAAATGTAAGATTAGCTACCTGTGATTTGGTCAGATCTGTATTTGAGCACATAACTAGATGTGAACAAAATTATTTTGGATAACTGAACTGTGTTGTGGTAGTTGCAATGATTTTTGCTCTGGAACTTATGGATTGACTTGAAGAGTTATTGAGTCCCATTTTCTAACACCACTTGGGAATCTGAGAGCACGCGTGTTTCTTTTTGTGTAAGCAAACATAGCGCACAGTCCTGAGCAAGCTGCAGGTGAACCGGCTCATCCAGACGCTGTGATGGTGTACAGATACTAGAGTGATTTTAACAGTGGCTATATTTTTCAGGCTGATTCAAGTTTACTGTGTTCAGGTCTGGAGCCAAATTAGTTGCAGCTAGCTCAGATACCTCCCTGCACGTTCTTTTATTACTGTGATTCCTTTGCCTCGCCTTGAGAGTCCATAGCACTTAAATTCTAAATACTTACTGAAAATGATGTGTGGAGAAGCTTTCCAAAACCTTATTCCACAATCACAAGCCAAGGACGTAGAGGTTTCTTAATCATCCTCTTTCCCATGTATATCAACTCACTGATAGCTTCACACCAGTTCTGTCTGTACTTGATAGCAATGCTTATATGAATGTTACAAATCAAGATACAATCGACTCCTCCTTGGAGTCGCTGGCATTTAGAAGCAAAGTTTCTATTATAAAGAGCTCTAGCTAGAGGAACACTGCAAACTGCCACGAGGTTTCCTGCTTATGGCTGATGTGAGGTGCACAAAGGATAACGTTTCCAGAATGTGCTTAATGTACCAAGGTACCGTAGCTGCTAATTTGAGGGGGATGAATGGGATGGGACATGGACATTATGTATTTTCCGCTACAGAAGAGTAATAAAGTAGCTACATTAAATGTAGGTCACTTTTTTCCTTTCTCTTAAGGAAACTACAAAAATCTGTGGGAAGAAATCTTCAGTGATGCCAAAGGCTTGTAAGGGAGACTATTTCGCTCCTAATGAAACAGATGGAATACTTCCTTCCACTCTTGTGCTGGAAGGCGTGTTCAGGTTTTGCGTAATACCAAGGTGCCAGATGTTCAGAAAAACCCTCCTGTTGAAATCTCAGCTTATAAAAATCTCCTTTCACATGTGCTATTTAGATTTGAAACATGTGCAGTACTTGTTAAAAAAAAATGTAATTATTACTGGTGATATATAGTAGAAGTTATTTAGATGCTTTAACTTTGACTTTCCCAGGTGGTCACTGATTGTAATTATGGGATGCTCCACAGTCCATGCCATAGAACTGCACTGTAATCAAAAGCAAGTCATTTGCAGAAAGATCCAGTAAATTATTTAGGCACTGAAAATAGGATTTATTCGGAAATTAAATGCCAAAATCTTAAAATTATGTTCATGATAAATCCTGCTTTTTTCTGTCACCAAGACTTAAACAGTTATGTTTTGGGGGTTTTTTTAAGGTTCCTCAGCTAAGGAGTCCAGGCAGGAATGAACTAATTGTGTGTGGTTAAAGCAAAGTTCCCAACCCACATATAGCCCTGATCAGAATCCAGAAGCAAAGCTCCTGAATCTACAAAGTACTGTCAAATGGTATTTAACATATGCTGGCTGGACTGGGGACCTCCAAAAATGTTTTAGCTTTTTTGGTTTTAATTTAAATAAACAAAACCCAAGAGAGAATAAATTACAGTACCTCTCTTTAACATAAGCTCAATTTATAGGATGCATTAGTTGAGTTCTCTCTACATGTACATATCCCCATCACTTCTTTGAAAAGGATGATGTAGCAGTTTGTTTTCAGAAGAGAGAATCTCCATTCCATAGATGTACCTTCTAACAGCAATGAGCAGTGTGTTAGGATGGAATAGGATTTAAGATCTGCATCTGCTTTCAGTGGGCTAGATTCTGGCAATGCAAAGCTGACAGGCTCAGTATCACAGATTTGGTGAATCCCCTTCTGCAGCACTGAGGTCCCCTAGAATCCAAGAGCTCTTGCTTCTGGTTAATGTGCGGTGGGTAACCACTGGAGTGGTTTTGTTGACTCTAGTCTGGGACTGTTGTTTAAGTAAGTGTAAACTAACTGAAATTTCACTGACATACTTGGTTTTGTGGAAACTTACTTTGCTCATATTGGATATTCTAGTTATTATGGATGTTTCCCAGAACTTTTTTCCTCTACCACATTTGTAATACTCTGCTCTAAATCACCATCTGAGGGTCTGGGGAAGACTGTAAGGAAAGGTGCAGAATGCTGCTGTAGGATTAAGACCTTCACATTCAGTCCTCTCTGCAGCAGCATCTGTGAAATTTGCAGGCAGGTGGGCATTGAGCACAAAACTGGTCTGGTTAAACACATGATTTTGCTCGTCTGTTTGACAAGTGTCTCATTCCTTTTACAGGATTGTGGAGGTTTTGTGGGATATTTTAGAATTACGGTAACTCTGTTAAGAGTATTCAGAATAAAAGGGAATGTTGGCATTGTTTAGCCTGCTGCTGTAACTAGATGTTCTGAGTATATACTTTTTAGTTAACTTTTCTCTGTATGAAACTCTTTCAGCTTTTGCTCTAAAATAAGTATGCTTGTTATTGCTGTTTATTTGATTTCCTTCAGTAAGCTGATGGCAGTGAAACTATAAAGATTTTTCTTCAGAGGACCTACCTGCAGTGAAAATTATTGAATTTGTTATAAACCTTTAGAAAACTAGGCAACTAATTTCTTTTAGCCTAAATATTTGCAAGGTTTTTTTATGCTGAAATGCAAAAGTAGTCAAACTTGCACAGAGTAAAAGACTCTAAAGCTGTATTTTTACTGACATAGATATTATAAAATTTATTATAAATATTAATCTATGTTTTCATTAGCTCACAAAGTAACTGCATTTCCTTCAAGATTTTATTGATCCTGATTGTTCCAGAAGGAGCTTTCCTTTAATTCAGAGGTCAATTATCTTAAATTCGTCAGGGAAACTGTAAAGTCTTTAGTCAGCATCATAACTAGACTTCTTCTGTACATGTAGCTATTGAATGAAGCATAACCACTCATGTTTATAACAGTTTGTCAATTTAGACCATAAGACTAAAAGCTAGTATGAAAGCACAAATGTACAGGCATCAGATGGTATGATTCAGTCCTGCATAATCCATATAGATTGCTAATATAGTTGTCTTAAAAAATACAGTTACTGCCAGTTTATTTCCTTCTTGTAAGTTCTCTGCTTTCTGGTTCAATCAAATGAATGATTTATTAAAAAAAATAAAAATTGAATTACATCTAGGAATCTTCTCAATATTTCCCAGAGCTCAGTCTCTTGGCAATGGTTTTCTTCACTGAACCCCAGTAAAATACATAGCTGCAGAATATTTGAGTGAACTCTCTGCTTCAATAAAATGGATTGCATTGTGATTTTATGGTTGGATGCAGAGCCTGAGCAGCAGACTTCAGACTTTTGCAATTATGTATTGAGCAGGTAGTCTCTTTAAAAAGGTAATGAGGTGTAGCAATAATATGACCATTACCTAAAAACTGTATGTGACCTAAAGGTATTTTTAGAAAAATGATACTTAAAGGTAAACTTTTTTTTTTAGATCTAGAGAAAAAGCAAGTAAAAACTAAAACATGAAAGTCCTTTCTCCTTCTGTTCTATTCATATTTCATATGCTGTAGGCAAGTGAAACCCATATCTGTTAAATGCAAATAAAAGTGCTTCTCTCTCTTCTGTGAAGAGAAATGAACTTTTGAAATTCTTACAGTAGGACATCTGAAAACCTGAGAAATTTGTCAGCACTAAGTACAAGTTCCCCATTTGTATTCTGTCTTGAGGCTGCTTCTTGTCAAAGAGGGTAAATCGATTCTGTAATCTGAGGTACTTTCTCTAGAAGCTCGAAGGACAGGCTGCATCATCACGCAGGTTTTTAGGCTGAGACGATTTCAGCAATTTCCTATAAGATGCCCGCAGCAATGCTGCAGAAGTCAGCTTGCACAGGGTTATGTGTTGGCTTCAGAAGTCGTATCTGGTAGTTGCTTTTGGTGGTTTGTTGATGCAAGCTCCACCCTTTCACCACAAAATTACATCCAGACTTTTTAACAGATGAAAAAATACATCCTAGGATGCTATTTATTTTAATAAGCACTCACGTTGTAGTCGTGCCCAGCTAACAGACGCCCTTGTCTCACAGAGCGTGCAGTCCCAGTTATAAAAGTAGTCAGGAAGAAACAGTGAAATGGAGAGAAGTGCATGTTGTGAGGATAGCTGAGCTGAGTGTATGAAGTTTGTATGGTTGTTTTTAAGTGAAGTATTGATGTCCTGAATGTTCTGTTTCTCCTCTCTTCCTCCAGGAGAGGGAAGGAATGTTCTCCTGCTATTATCCTACTGCTTTTATCCTTCTTTCCCATTGCTATTGCCTGTGCTTGAAGCTGCTGTTTTTCCTGATCAGAATGCTCCACCTTCTCTGCAAAGCACCCCAGTGCACATCAGTTTTTTCGAAGTAACAGCAAAGAAGGGAGCATCATTCTGCAATTCGCACTTAGTTTCTTTGAATAAAGAAGGGAGGAGGGTTAAGAAGTCTGAGGAACCAAGAGTGAGTGTGCTGGTAGACATGTGATAGGACATCAGAAGAGATGGCCTGATTTTTACCACCAGTAACCAGCTGTGTTGCCTCACTGCCACTGAAGCAGAAGTGCCAGATCTGCTTGCAGGTCAGCTCCTGAACTGCCTCTATTATCAGCCTCATCCAATTACCATATTAAGGTAATCTCTTTGCTAGGAGTTTAATGTGGTTGCCAGTTGACCTGCAAGCAGGTCTTCTGATAGTGTGATTACTTTTACCTCTGTAGTTATTTTTGTCATGGCCCTGTTTACTGAGCTGATGTAGCTAGGATGTGATTAAATGATCTATTTAATTTTCTTTGGTATGTACACAAGCAAGAAATAAAACTCTGACTTGGGAGTGTCCACCTTGTTGCAGTGAAAACCTATGCAAATTATGAGTTGTTCAGGTGTGGCTGCCATGCAGGACTGTTTTACATTGCTGGGTGACCTACCATGCTAGCACAGTCAAAGTTGAATATGTTGCACTGGAAGAAGCAGAGGCTGCTAGAGAAGCAGAAACTGGTGTCACCAGATGACCTAGGAGCCCCCATTTGCATGCCTAGATCAGTCTATCACGGAATTAGTAAATTCTCCTATCAGGAGTACTTGTTGTGACGTCCCACCAGTGAATCAGAGTTCACTCTGGCCACGACACTCTGAGGTGTGTCTTGTGCCTGCTGAGCATGTGAACAGCTTGGCGTATGGCATCCAGGGAAGCTGGGTACCAGCCTTCCCACAGAAGGGAATCTCTTAGCATCCCGTTTCCTTTGAGACCTCACTGAATTGAGTTTGACAGCACTGCTGTGTAAACAGATGTGAAAGACTCATATTAACAGTAACCGTATTACCCATTAACCAAAATGTGGCTAAAAGCACACATTTTAATATTCTGTACACAAGTAATGTTTGTGATGTTAGACTGTAAATCTGCATTTTAAACATTTTCCCTCAAATCTCAGTTTACTTTCACTTGCTGTGTTGTTCTTGCTTTTAACTTGTTTTCTTTGCTTGACTTCAATATGCCTTTTTTCTTTTTTCTTTATTTTTTTTTTTAACAAAGCAGCACCTATTCAAATGAATAGGCTCCTTGCTTGCTTCATTGTGGCAGATGGGACATTTATGTTCTCAGTCTTTCAAGCTGATACGTAGGTAGAATGTATGTATGCTGTGACATTTGGAGAGCTGTGAATAAAATACCTGAAACACCAGGTCCGTTAGCTTCTGAAACTGAAAATTGCTTCCCAGGTATGTCCTGCACCACTTGCCTGGTGCTGGCTAGTGAGTGCCCTGCAAAGGGGAAGACCAGCCCTTCTGGTGCTGTGCAGACCCTGGGAACAGCACTGTTCTTCTGAGGAGGACAGAGTGTCTTCCTAGCTCCTCTGAGCTCTTCAGGGTGCTTCAGAAGGGGCATGCACACAACCTGGCACTGTGGACACTTCTTTTTGCATTGCTGTCTGTGGTAAATCACTCCAGTAGTTGCCCTCACTGTCATCCCCAGATCTCTTCTGCACCAGCAGACTGAGAAGGAGCCAGAGACTGCAGTCCCTGCAGCAGGGAATTCTGCAAAGTTAGCTACAAGCAGCAGCAGGGAGTCAGACGTTTTCTAGGCACTGTGAAGAAGAGTACCGTATCATTTTCTTCCTCAGCTATAATATATATTAGGTGCTCTGGTTCACCTAAAAGCATCAGATGGCCAGAAATTAAAGGTTTGCGCTGAGGGGACTCTTCCCCTGCTTATCCACAAGCAGGCGAGTTCTTCAGACGTCATCTCAAAGGGAAAAGGGCAGCGTTTCTGCAGGCTTCAAAGCTCTTAACTGTTAGCCCTCTGTTGGTGTAAGGTCTATGAAAATTTCCAGAAACACAACAATAAAGCAAAAATGCTTCATTCTCAGGAGAACAATGTGGCTGCCCACAGAGTAGGTGTCTCCTGTGAAATCTGAAGAAGTTGCTATTCTTACCTCCTTGCAGTAACAGTTATATCCCAAGTTTGTAGCTCTCAATTGCTAGCTGTGAATGTCTAAAATACATGAATAGCTGTTTGCTGGCCTTTCGTGAGCTGTATAAGCCTTTTCTCCAGATTACTGAAATGGGCAGTGTCAAAGTGAATGATGCTGCAGTTAAAGCTGTTGCATCCTCTTAGGCTGAGGCATCTGAGCAGACAAACTAGAGTTTCCAGATTTTCTTACTCCTTCCTTTGCTTTGAAATAAAATATCCCCATTTTTGTGTTTAATGAGAACTAATTATAAATAGGAAAAGATAGATTTTATTTTTTTCTTTTAGTTCTGTACAACAGTATGGCTGTGTGTTTTATCATGAGTAAAAAATTTTGGTCCATTACATGTAAACACATATAACTATTACGGTAAGACTTAATGTTGTACATAGAAATTGTTTACAGTAACAATGAGCGGGTGTTCCTCTGGGATTAAAAAGTGAACTAGATCCAATCTTACTGAAATAAAAAATAATTTAGATTAACTGTTATATTTGGCAGACACAATCATACATGCTTTTTTGAGGGAATGATCTTTTATATTTGTTTTTACTCATGTAATAGTCATAAGTGAATGCTTTGAATTGTGGGCCTGATTACACTGAGATTTTGCCTTTGTACATTAAAGTGGACATTCTTACAAATGAAGTTAAAAATTGTGTATTTCAAACCCTGTTTCTTGTGTGGTGCAGCTCTTACAGTGTCAAGGGCAGTTTTTGTTTTGTTCTTGCTCTCATTTTCTTATGTTTTAAAAAAGCACCAATAGCATTGAGGACCTTCTGGTTTCGTGATTTGTTGTATTGAGCCTTTTCCCTTCCTTTAAAACAGTCTTTGCCAGAAACTGCATAGTTGAATCTTAACTTGAAATTAAAGAAAACAGTATTTATGGACCTAGTGCATAACACTGCTGGAAGAATGTACGCTTGAAAAATGAAGCTTTAACCCCATAAGTAAGAGTAGGAAGATAATTTTCTATTTCAGTGGAATTTTTGCACCCGAACTGTAAGATCAGACCCTCTGACTGCTACCTTGCACTAAATAGTGTGTGGTACCTAGAGTGTCAGCAGCAAGGTTATAAATTCTCCTGGAACATTAAGGAGAAAATTACTCCTACAGCTATTCAAAATCTTGTTTGAATTTCTTGGATGCTGTTCAGAGTATACTTGTCAACTGTTACAAATAATGTTCAGTTAAAATTTGTTGTGCGTGCCTTTTTTTTCTTTTTTTTTAATTAAATAATTAATGTTCTCTGTACTGTATGCTGGATGATCTCTTGTTCACGTATTTACTGAATATCTCACTTTGCCCATATCTGGTTTTTTGCATTGAAAAAAAAAAAAAATTGATCAACAGTGCTGTTGCATTTTTGAAGGAGGAACAGCATGAATGTAAAACGTACAGCTTTATGTGGGGATTTTGCCCATCATTACAATACAAGGCATTATCCTTGTAATAACAAAAAAAAAAAAAACCCCAAACCAAAACCTGCTAGCTGGAAGCTTAAGACCCATTTAAAGACACCCCTCAACCTCATCCTTTTTTATTGGTTCTTGATGGTTAAAATTATGGCAAATGCTTGAGATATTGTTCTTTATCTAATCCAGGAATACTTAGCATTTTAGATTGACTGCTAACAAATGTCTGGCCAAAGCATGTCTTATTCATTAGATGTATAAAGTTAAATGATGGTTTTCTACACGTCTGTGGTTCCTCTTTAATTATATTAATGTAGGGATCTTGTCGATGTAGGTCACCTTCCATGGATCCAGTTCTAGGGCTGAGGCACAGGAACAGAACAGCTTGCTTAAGACCTCATTAATTAATATTCACTTCTTTGTTGATAAGTCAATTGTATGCATGATGGGTGCTGATGTGGTGATGGAGCGTTTTTCTGTTAATGGTGCTAACTTGCTGGCAGTTTTCCTAGTAAATAGCTAATTACTGCAGTGGATCTCATCGCTGCCTAATGCAATGAAAATTATAATAAAGTAATGCTACATTTCTTTTTTTAGGTAATACTCTACGGGGATTTGCCAAAAAATAAAGAAAATGTAATATATTTATCAAATCATCAGTGTACAGGTTTGTATATTTTTGTCTTAGCACTTTTATAGATTTAAAAAATTTGCTTATCTGTTTACTATGTCTCCTTCCAGCCTTGCCCTAACGAGCAAGAACTTCTAGTTCAGAAACCTTTAATGATATGTATATGTACAACATGCACTTTTTGTTTCATCAGTGGCAATTAAAAACTAGTTTAACTAAACATTTTCGGCTTTTGTCTTTGCAGTTGATTGGATTATTGCGGACATGCTGGCAATTAGGCAGAACGCTCTGGGGCATGTCCGGTATGTCTTGAAAGATGGGTTAAAATGGCTTCCGCTGTACGGGTGGTATTTTTCACAGGTAAGCCCATTCACTTTTCCCTTGCTGTTTGTGGGTCAAATATGTAAGATGTACTTTTCTTCGATTTACCATGTGTGCTGGGAAGATGTAGTTCTGACCTGGCACTTGTTTATTTGAACATGAAAATAGCTGGTTTCACTCAGTGTAATTAGATGTGTATCTTATTTGAGAGACAGTTATTAAAGAATCAGTTTACTTTCTAAATTAATACTTTTTAGGGACCATGTTTATTACTAGAATTAAAACTGTAGAGTCTGTTATAGAAGCATTTCAGAATATTTTAGAACTTCGTTCTTTTTACAATCCAAAACACTACTTAGCAGTAGTTGTAAACAGACTTTTTCATTCTGTGGTTTGGGGTTTTTTTTGTCATGCTACAAGTTGGGAGTAAATTGACAGTGCTGTGTTGTACTTAATTATTTTTCAATTGTTTAGTTTTAGCACAATATAAAAGAAGAAAATTGGACCTTAGTATAGTGTAGAGGAAAAGTATATCCCAGCCTCCGTGGAAAAAATACTTTTAATTAGACAGTTTGATTGAATTGACTGTCAACTCTGTCCAAGGGGATGGGGGATATTGAGAGAAATACTACACTGGGTATGATTTGAACTATATATTAGTTGGTAAAGGAATGTATGAAGATTAGACAGCTACAGTCATATGTCCGAATAGGAGGCTTTACTCTCTCCCTCTTCTTTGGCTGTACATTCCTCCCTTCCTCTCACCACTTGCATGCTTGCATCCGTAAGTCAAGTCAGATCAGTTGATTCCTAGAACCAGCAAAAGGGGGAAAATTTTGAGTATACAGCCATGGGTGAGAAGAGGGGAGGAGGCAGAATAGCCCTTGTGTGGCAGTTGACTCTGAAACTTTGTCTCCGAGAAGCTAATGTAAATTGGATTGGGTTTAGAGAGTGTTGGGCGAGGGGAGGTACAAAGCCATGAACTGCCTAATTAGTTTGCTGAAGAACAGGAAGCCTCTTAAATGGTGGCCTTTCTCAGCAATCAGATGTAGCCTTTTAGGTACCTAGTTTGAACAGAGGTTCAGAGTCTTGGATCATGTCACATAAGATGCCCACCTCTAGGGTGTGAAATCTCTCACCATTTTATCTTTAGAGCACAGGTAGTGGTTGAGGTTCAGTCTGTTCAGTGTGTAAGAGGTTAGTGTCCCCCGAGAGATTGGGAGAAGCAGGTTCCATGTCTTCAGCTTGATGGTTGAAAATGTTTGTTGTCTTTTGGATGAATGCCTTAGTAGGCTATAAATCTAGACTGAAGCATGGGCGGTTGCCATCCTTTCTTCTAAAATTGCTATGTTTATTAAAAAATATGCTGCAGAGAAAATCAGAAAACTGTTCATGATTTCTTTTTATTGTGGGTTTGCTGTCCCAGTCCCCTAAATAAGTAGAGACTGTCACACCCTGTCATACCTCACTGAGGGTATCCACTGGGAGAAAATGGACCTCTCTGTCTAATGCTTGTCCCCACTAATGACTCTGGTTCTCTACATTTTTCTTTCACTAAAGTGACCAGTCTGCTGCATGGAAATATTTTATTCTTTGTCCTTGCCTGTGGTCATTACATTGGTGGTGATTTAAGCATGCTTTAATTAAATACAGACAGGATATATATTCTATCTGCTATCACTAGGTGTCCAGAAAGGATTTTTTTTTTCCAGATTTTGGAAAATTACTATTGCTATCTGGAATATCCGGCACTCAGTTTCCTGACCGCTATATTGCCTGTTAAAAGAAAGTTCCTGTGGAAATTAATCTGAATGTAGCCTACATTTTTAATCAAAACATATATATTAAATAAAATCTGTTCAGCTTCAGATTCCTCAAAGCATAAAACTACTACAAGGTGTAGTGGGGGATGATTATATATATAAATATTCAGTGACACAAATGAAAGGCATCTTACTAACAGTGGCGATGCGTGTGTGTTTAAATGACCGAGACGGGATACAGCAGGACTGCAGTGCAAGCTAATAGGTATTTTTATTGTTTTTATCACACCAAACAGTGCAAAAACATAAAACACTTCCTGCCCTTCCTGTTGATGTTCTGTCAGTGATGTCACTTACACTCCACTAAAAGTTTCCAGAGCCACCTAATTACGCCATGCTCACGGAATTCTTATTCCCTACCTCAGGTAAACATCCTGTTTGGAAATAAACGTGGTCTGGATGTCCAGGAGAGCGAAATTCAGGCACAAAGGAAGTATATTTGTAAACATAATCCATTGTTGACTGAGAGAAGGGCTTTTAAAGTACAACGGAAAAAAATTACAAAGTTAAAAACAGTACTTCCAGAAATCTGTTTTGAAAAGTGTTCATATATTTGATCTCTTACTGAAAAGGAAATGCAATACAAATTGGGGAATTTGAGCTATATACACTTGCATAACTAGCATTCTTCTTTGGAGAATCTAATAGCAAGAAAAGAACCACTTAAATTAACCTATTATGTTCCGGATTTGGTTTATTAGGTAGAGCTATTTCTTTTCATAAAGCTGGCTTTATTATTTTTGGGTGGATCTGAATTTTTTTTTTGCCCTATCTTTCTCCACCAAAATGCAGCTAGCTCCTATTCATCTTATACCACCTGGTGAGGCTGGAATGTAATTTTGATAAATATTTTTGATATCCCAGAGTTTGCCTGACTTTTTAACATAGGAAATATGTCTTTGTCTTTTCTGTTATTCAGCATCAGCTTGCGCACCTTTTTGGTCAGTACTGAATTTTAACCAAATATTTAGCTAGTATGGCAACGTGCCTCTCTTCAGCTTTGTAACCTTGTGCTATAGGGGAGCTGACATGTTTATGTAGTTGGGTTGTATGCAGTGAATGGTGATCTTACAATGTGTAACTTGTCTGTTCTTACGAGTATGTAGTCACTTAACGTATTTACTTAAGAAGTACACATTTATTTCTGAGCATTAAAAAGTCTGAGGTGGGGACACCAAACCTGTCTTTGGTGTTGTGGTGTCCCTAAGCAAACTGTACAACAGTAACTTGATTTCTTCAAGTTCACAAATTAAACAAGGAAAAAGTAGTTCAATATTTTCCCAGTTTACTGCAGCTGGTTATTAATTTGAAAAATATGGGAAGACTTTGATTCCAGCCTTCCCTCATTTTTCAAAGCTTGACCTCACTGAGTTCACACAGAATGATGACTTACCAATTACTTGGAAGTCTTGTATAGTAGATGCATTATTTTTCATACCAAACTGAGTTTGCCCTTCCTGAAAGTGGTTGTTGTGGTGAGTGTCGCTGTACAGAATAAGACTTCTACTTCCCTTTAACGGTGTCATTATCTTAAAAATGGTCTTACATGTGGATTGTGTAGATAACATGTGGCACTCTGCTGCACAGCTGGTGGAATATCTTTCTGTTCACACTACTATCTATCCGGGACTGGTAAACTGCTTGTGGAATGGTGCTGGTATGATGCTCCAGCCTGCTACAGGCCAAGCTTGGTGAACTGGGGGATTCTGTTCTTGGTTTTGGTGCCTGCCCTGCCAGCCACAGCAGCACAGCTGAGTGTTGCAGCTGGCTGCTTCACCTTGGAAGGGAACCACAGGTAATAATGTTAAGACAGAATATTTAATACGGAGTTAATGCACCATTGACTTTCTGTTCATTTTCACTGCAGTTTTTGGAGAATGACTTCAAAGTCACATCAAATAACACTAGCTAAACAGCTGCATGGCTATCTCTCCACACCATGAAAAGCAAAGGCCGAAAGCACTTTGCATAACTGCCTCTTCTGCCTGCCTCCTCCTAACCACTCAAACTTTATTCCTGTCCATGACATGCAAATAAAATAACAGCACACGCACCACCACCCCTGTTTCTACAATGTGCTGTATTTTTTACTGAGATAAGACACTTACTGTCAACTTTCTGTTAAAAGTGTGTAAAACCATAAATGCACAGAAATTATTTAACGAATCCTAATGCCAACAGTCAGGGTGGACAGAAAAGAGTACTATCAAGTTAGGGAATCAGTTAGGAAACCCATAAAAATAATGTACTGTAAGAATGAAATTCTGTTATTTACAGGTAGGGGGTTTTTTGTTGTTTTTTTTTCCCCCTCCAGAAGTCATTGTACCAGTAGTTCATTTTGGAGCATGTTTGTTTACATCCTGCTGTAGCTATACTGCAGATAAAGCGATGGAAGAGGGGAATCGTAGAATTGTTTGGACTGGAAGGGACATCAAAGATCATTTAGTTCCAACTCCCCTGCCATGGGCAGGGACACCCTCCACTGGACCACGTTGCCCAAAGCCCCATCCAACCTGGCCTTGAACGCTTCCAGGGAGGGGACATCCACAACCTCTCTGGGCAACCTGTTCCAGTGCCTCACCACCCTCACAGTGAAGAATTTCTTTCTAACATCTAATCTAAATCTACCCTCTGCCAGTTTGAACCCCTTACCCCTTGTCCTGTCACTACACTCCCTCATAAACAGTCCCTCTCCAGCTTTCCTGTAGCCCCCCTTTAGGTACTGGAAGGCTGCTATAAGGTCTCCCCAGAGCCTTCTCTTCTCCAGGCTGAACGATCCCAACTCTCTCAGCCTGTCTTCACAGGAGAGGTGCTCCAGCCCTCTGATCTTCTTTGTGGCCCTCCTCTGGACTTGCTCCAATAGCTCCATGTCTGTCTTGTACTGGGGGCCCCCAGAGCTGGATGCAGTACTCCAAGTGGGGTCTCATGAGAGCAGAGTAGAGGGGCAGGATCACCTCCCTTGACCTGCTGGTCACGCCTCTTTTGATGCAGCCCAGGATACAGTTGGCTTTCTGGCAAGCACACACTGCTGGCTCATAGAGTCATAGAATGGGTTTGGGTTGGAAAGGACCTTAAAGATCACCTAGTTCCAACCCCCCTGCCAAGGGCAGGGACGCCCTCCACTAGACCACGTTGCCCAAAGCCTCATCCAACCTGGCCTTAAACACTTCCAGGGATGGGGCCTCCACAACCTCTCTGAGCAACCTGTTCCAGTGCCTCACCACCCTCACAGTAAAGAATTTCTTTCTAACATCTAATCTAAATTGACCCTCCTTCAGCTTGAACCCATTACCCCTTGTCCTGTCACTACACTCCCTCATAAACAGTCCCTCACCATCTTTCCTGTAGGCCCCTTCAGGTACTGGTAAGCCACAATTAGATCTCCCCAGAGCTGCCTTTTCTCCAGGCTGAACAATCCCAACTCTCTCAGCTTGTCCTCATAGGAGAGATGCTCCAGCCCTCTGATCAGCTTAGCCCTCCTCTGGACTCTCATGTTGAGCTTCTCATCAACCAACACCCCCAAGTCCTTCTCCTCAGGGCTGCTCTCAATCCATTCTCCGCCCAGCCTGTATTTGTGCTGGGGATTGCCCCAACCCATGTGCAGGACCTTTATTAAAAGCTTGATTCTCTAATAAAGTGCATGGAAGTTTTCAAGATCTATGCTAGTTACTTTTGTGCTACTCATATAAATTTTGCATGCATAGGTACAATACTTGTAATTCCAGTATTTGCATTAGTCACTATTTAAGAGTGGGCCCGTAAAATTGAAAACGCTGATCTATAAGTACTTGTATGCGAGTAACTTCAGTTGTGCAGTTATTTTTTTTTTATTATTATTATTTTTCCCTTGAATTCTAGTTAAGCTGCTTGGCAGTGTTGTCAGGAATAGATAGATCAATCCCTGGAGTCGGTTGCAATGTCATCTTCAAGTTAATTATTTAACACCTTTAAACAAGACACTTCAGATGTCTCAGGATTTTTTTTTATTTTATTTTATGTTTACATCTGATCTTTATTTAAACAGATTTTGTGAACTTAAGTACCTGCAAATGTAAAATTAGTTTCAAGTGCTTTCATCCTAGGAGAAAACGTTTTGTGGGCAATTTGTAGCATGAGTCATAAAGGTGACTTGTCTTTGTCATCTTGTTTGTTCTATCAAGTATTATACGTTAAACTGCTTAAATATTTAATACCTTTTTTTTTTGCTCTGTTAGCATGGAGGAGTCTATGTAAAAAGAAGTGCCAAATTCAATGAAAAAGAAATGAGAGAGAAGTTGCGGGCCCAGATGAAAGCTGAGACTCCGGTAAGATTATACCTTCCTTCCCCTACTTCTCATTTCTTTGATTTTTTTTATTTTTTTTTTTAATGGCAAAGGCTTATTGGAGAAATGAGTCATGCCTGATACCTGCAAACTACAAGATGGTAATCATGGATTTGTTTTCTTTCTGTATTTTTACAGTTACTTTCTGTGATTAGAGTGATACCTCTAATTAAACTTCGGAAAATTTGACTAGTCCTTTATGAATGGCACGAACTTTGTGATCCTGTCTGTAGAGGGCAGGGGGGATCTGGACTAAATCTTAGAACGTGAGCTATAGCACCTTCATTGAGAAAGCACTGTCAGTGTTTCCTGTGTTTCAAAAGACAACGTTTTGATGACTGTGTGCTTGTCAGAGACTGGTATTTTTGTAGAATACCACTTGTTTGATCTTCTGAAAGTCAGGAACCATTCTTACCAAGTCTTAATTAGTCATTCCAATGATCAATCATTTTTAACAGCAGTGACATCTTAGAACTGAGTAACTTTGTCTGCTACGCCTGGAGGCGAAAAAAAAAAAAACCAAAAAAAACCCAAAAACCCCGAACTCTTGATAATTTTCTATTTGAAGAATGATTGTTAGTGCCAAGTGACTTTTCTCATGACTCCCTGTATGGTTTGTGGCTCAGTGGTTAGAATCACTGTGCTACGCTTCCATTACTTGCTGTGCATTAAAATGTTTTCCGCTTTTTTGGCGAGACTTAAGAAAACCAACTCAGCAAGCCTTGAAACAGAACAGTTACGCTTTCATTTTATTTACAGTGATGTGATTAGGAGTTGCCACTCCATATACTGTCAAACCCTTTATAAGCTGAGGTTTGGGTAAAAGGAATGCATAGGTTGTTTTGACCTTCATAATAGTCTTCATATTTTTTAGTTTTTATTTATTGGAGATGGTGTGTTCATGTTTGTGCATGTGTCTGTGTTGAAAAAGTAAACTGGCCTTATGCTTGCTTATTGAGAGGCTTAAATGAGTAAAGTTTCCCTGTTTAGGACAGTGCTCAAACTCATTTTGTCTTGAAGTAAGATTTAGCATGAACAAGCATTTTTTTTGTTTGTTTTTCATTAAGATAAGAAAGTGGATCTATTTTGGTTTTAGCATAGAAGTTACAAAGGCCAGAAATACATTACAACTAAACTTCTGCTGTCCAATGTCTAATGATGTCCACATGGAGAAGATGGTCATATTCAGTAGTGGTAACTTGTGCCTGCATTACCGGGGAGGGTCCTGGGATGTGAAAAGGTTGCATTCCATCAAGTTATTTTCTGTAGGTTAGTGGCAAATTTTCTACTTTCTGTAAAACTTGCAGTATAATGGAATAAGCAAAGACAAATTGCAGGATGTATGAAACCTATTTGTAGTCATCCTCCTAAGCGGTTGCTCCCCCTGCAGAGTGCTGGTTAAGTTTGCTTTAATTAATATGGATGAAATATCTTAGCAGGGTGTTTTCCTGCATAGGCCCATGGATTTCTTGCTAGCCAGAGAGGCAGCTTCTGGTTGAGTCTAGCTTTCTGGCTTCCCTCTCCACCCCCAAAAATGCAGGGGTTTGTCGTAATAATAATGTTGTGATTGTGATAGGAGTCTTGGTTTGAACTCTGCATTAAATTAGTCTGCTTTATAGAAACGTGGAATTTCTTTTTTTAATACAATCTTATAAAGATGTGCCTAGAAACTCATCTAATTGTGAGTCTCTCTGGAAACCTGCAGATGATGTTCAGTGTTGCTCCAGTGCTGTAAATTGACTGGACAGGCCAGTGTGTGATTTTAGCCCAACCGGAATGTAAGGGGAAGTATAAAGATAAAGCTTTTCTTTAAAGCTACATCCACTGTGGGTTCTACTTTCCATGGTGGATGTCTACTTGTGATTAATAAATGAAATAAATCCAGAAGGCTTTTTTTTTCTGGAATCATCTTTCTTCTCCCTCCTCAGTCTTGTGTGGATTGAAAACCTATACCTAACTGATCTAAGCTAATTCCAAATGAGTTTGGGACCACTTGGGGTACATTTGGGGTTTTTTGGTGTAATTTGGCTATCTAGAAGTTTGGTGGTGTTGGAAATGTGCACAGAACCTGGACATGCTTACCAGGCAGTTGCTGCTATTTTTGTCGTATTATCTAGGGTAGCAGTATAGAAGAGATACAAGTGTAACTGCTGCAGAAATACATTCTGGTTTAAATCTTTTTCAGTTAAACCATGGAGGGAATGACACTTGAGTTTTACAAAACCAAAGCTGTCAAAACCCTGTTTACTGAGATAAATGTTTGCATCTGCTGTAAAAGACAAACTATTGAGTTATCATTTGAGGGACAACTAAATTTTCTATAATCCATTTTATCTGAAAATTTAAATGTAGAGTCTGTAAATGCCCTTTAACCTACAATTACTACTGGGAGAAGAACATGATAACCTGTGTCCTTACTGCATTATTCATGAAGAAACTGCAGTTCTGGAACTTAGCATGACATTCATAAGCAACTATATTGCTTTTAAAATGAAGACATTTTAATCAGAAAAGCAAGTGCCCTGAACTCATCAGCTTCATGCAAAAATAACTAATCTACTACTCTGGGAGTTTTTTATTAAAATTCATGCACTGGATGCTACAGCTCAAGGTGGGCTTTTCCTCAGTTTAGTGAGCAGCTATGGTTGCTTGGTCATTCTGCACCACTGTGGTGTAGTACTTTCTTTAATGTAGTGTTAGATAACAGCTTGCCTTTCAGCTGCTGAGGAAAGAATTATATGCCAATAAAGAGGAGATGGACAGGAATCGGTGTTAAGGGTCACTTTGTTATTTACAGTTTCTCTCCATGTACAGTTTAAACAAAATAATCCAGAAGATTAATGTTCACTCTGGAGCCATCCCTGTTCCCATTAAGAAACTGAAGATGTGTAGGAAGGCAGAACCAGTCTTCTGTTCTCATTAGCGTAGCAAGGCCTTTAGTTGTTTTATTGCCTCATGTCATGTGGTGGTTCTTTTTATCTTTTTTTATTTTATTTTTATGGAAAGGAAATTGGAGGTAGAACATGGACAGGAAAAATACGGCTGCCTCTTGGCCTGTACATTCACAGCAGAACTGGATTAGTGATCTGGTATGCTTGATTTTGTGCAGGGACGGTGGACTGCATGGTGCTCCTTGCTCACCTTGTCTTATGACTTCTACCCATCTGCCTGCCTTAAACAGCCCCTTTTTCTGTCCTGCTGTTCGCAGTTGGCCCACTCTTCTTCCTAATGCAGCGCAGCAATGAGAGATGTGCGCAAAACTCTGATGCTAGACTGAAATGCTGTTGCACCTGTTTTTTCTTAGTGGAGATCTTGAACTAATAAATTTTCTTATTTCTCTCTGGAAATTATTTTGCTTCTCAAACTCGTTGAACTATACACTCATGGTTCATTATTGGGCTTTTTCTTGGCAAAACTCAGTTGAAGTGGTACGATTTTGTTTAAAATTACGTAAAATTTGGCGGATTGTTAACAAATTGCAATCTTATGTCTTGTTGTGAGAGCAGACTGTCACACAGTTTGAAGGACATTTTTGTGTTAATGTTGTTTTAATGTAAGCCATAAGAAGACAAACACATTTCTCAATGTAACAGTATATCCAGCTGACACTTGATATGCTCAATCTGCTTGTTTTTTTAAAGAAAGTTAACTCTTCTGAACAGCAAACTATTCAGTTTGATAAATGAAAATGTAACTTATATTTCTTTTTATCATGCATCGAGAGTAGGAAATCTGCATTCTGAGATGTGCGATTTAACCCAGTACAGCCAATATTTAGCTGGTTACTATGTGTTTTGTTTTTGTTATTCAGTCAGTGACAGAATAAATCTTTATCACATGAAGCAGTGCCAAGCAAACAGTAAAAACCTGGAGGGGACAGATACATTAATACAATTGCTATAAGGCTTAATGTAATTATTTTGTCATATAGTTACTAATTTGCAAATCCCTGATGACTTCTCTGTAAATCCTGGATGTCCTTGCCTGTTTTCCTCACATCACCTTTTGTATTTTATTCCAATTATACCAGATATGCTTTCTCATATCCTGTCTTTTTTTGGTTATTGATCTGAGTGTTAATGTTTCTCATCCATTTCACCAGGAGCGTATCTTTTAGGCAGTGGTCTAAATGGATTCAGATACGAATCTGACTAGCTGTCAGGATGCAATAATAATATTAAAATTAAGCAAATGCATTGTTTAATATAATTTTGAACTTTGTAAATGAAAATGTATGATTGTTTTCCCCTTGTCACCAACCCAGCAACAGCACAGTAAATGCAAGATATCTTTAGTCAGTAGTTACCACTTCTTGACGCCCTATGTTCTTCTACAGTGGCACTTACTCTCTCCAGGACACCCTCCAAAGCCCTGTCCTCAGCCAGGTTTTCTCTTTATTCCCTCTTCTTGCTGTATGCTTATGGTATCTGGGTTGACTTTATGTACGCCAGGGATTCGTGTGCTGCTTGGTGCCCCTTTCCCCTGCTCCACCCATACAAACCAGCTCCTTTCGTGGCACCCTAAGCTATCTCAGGGGCTTCTTGGCTGCCCTACTCCCCCCTCTGGAAGCACAGCCCCTCTCAGTGCCACTGCTATTTCTTTTTGCCAGGGAGATCTTGACAACACTGGGGAAATGAACAGAGTTGTTCGGGTAAAAACAGTTATCATCATCCATTCATTTCATTTGTGGATTGTGGCAAGTCCACCGACGTTACGCTGGGGACTCTGTGGGCACCCCCTGCCTCTTTTCTGGTTTTCTGGCTCCAACAAGAATCAGTAGGGTTCTACTAAAGGAATCCTGATCCACTCCTTGAAGCTTCCAAATTGACGAGAGATACCAAGTGTATCGACACCCACCCATTACACAGAAACAGGCATGAAAGTACCAAACATAGGGACCTACTCAGCTTGGGTTAAAATTGATATATCAGTGAATCAGGGACTGTGGTAATACAAAACTTTCTACCCCATTTTGAACACAAGCACTGTATTTTGCAGTCACTGTGATAAAGTGCATAACGTTTCTGTAGTTAATTGCCCTAAATGAAAAATTAAGTATTAAAAATTGCCTTAGCTGCACCTGGTGTTTCTAGGCTGTTAAAATGCTCCTACAACTCAACAGTTCTTTATCCAAGTTCAGGGGAGCTTATCTAGTTATTAAAATCTTAGAGTTTTATACTTCTTAAAATCTTTGAAAATAGTGCTTAAGGATTTAGCTTCTGCTGCCCATGGGAGAAGAGAAAAGCCAGTCATACAAGTAGATTTGTTAGGCTGAATTGCACTGGCAGAATAACTTTGCGTTGTGCAGGACTGTACATGAGTATAAGTAGGAAATCTGTTTACATTCATTAATTTTACTCAGGTAAAGTAGTCCTAACCAGCTACATATTAGATTTATATATGCTGAATTTAAAGCAAAGGCCTCTTCTCTGTCTTGTTGGTCTCCTTTCAATTCAGAGATACTCAGATTCTGGTCAACAAACCTGTTCAGCTGCTTGTATTTGAGGTTTACAAGAATAATTAAAATATAATTTCAACCCCTGCTTTGTATTACACATGTAGAACTGGGGTAAGTAGATACTATTCTGTGTTGTGTAATCAGCTTTTAATGGCTGATTATCTGCTTTGAAGACTGGTAATGTTGTTGCATGCTTTTAAGTGCTGATCTCTTTATCAAGAATGGTATTCTTGTCCTGTGTGATTCTCTTTCTTTTCTCTGTCAATTATTACCTGTTATATCCACTACATCCCTTGGAGCTGAGCATTCATTCTTTAATGAGGAGTAGGAGTAACCTCATCTTTGAGTACCATTTTAAGAATCCAAATTAAGTGGTTTGAGTATGAGCACGTTTATGAAAAAAAATGCATCTGGATTTGAATATTATGCCCTTTCCAGCTAACTCTAAAAAGTTTTACTTAGCCACTTAAATATCTCAACAGTATACTTCATAGATGAAATGTATACATGACTAGGGGAGGTGTGGACTGCATCTGGGTCTAAGGATTCTTGTACTCGTGCTTACGCTACTGTCCTGTTAGAATAAAATAAGCACCTTTCCTTTTAAACCCATTTTCTTTTGTTCTTTCCCCACCAAATCTGTATACATCTTGGGTTTCTGCTGGTCCTTGAGCATTCTTCAGGACTTCACCTGCCTCTGCAATCTGCCAGTTCTCCTCCTCCCCAAACATGCTGTGACAAGTACAGCCTTTCTTTCCTCTAGCTCTCTTTACTCCGCTCTACTGACACTGGTTTTGCCATTCTTAATATATTTTCATTCTTTTTCCTCCACCAGATTTTAGGCTGTGTGCTCCATTCTCTTCTTGAGCTCCTGCTGTCTTCACTGGTTGGCACACTTCCCAGATTTCTTCCCTCCTCTGCATTTTAGCACATCTTTCGACCTTCCTCGCTGTGGGGTGATTCTGGAGAGTTTGCTTGCTGGGTCCTGTCTTTTTGCATTCAGCCTTTTCTCTAGCTGTTCTGTAATCATTAAGTTGCACATACCAGCACATTGCTGTTTTCTGGGTCAGAAGCACAAAATTATATTCCTCTGTGTCTCTCCGGAGCTTTTATTTTACTTTGCATCGTTTCATGATGTGCACTCCTACTTGCCAGTATCCTACTGTACTCACTGATAATCCTCCGTTGACTGTTGTGTAAATCCACTCTCTCTTTTCTTTCAAATATTTCTTGCAAAGCTAACAAGCTACTTAGTCTAGGCACAATGGGCATGATTTTACTATGAATGTGTCAGTTGACATTCAACTCCATGCTAGTTACCATTTGTGGCAGTAGTCTTTTCTTCTGCAGATGAGCCCCCAGTATGAAATTTTCACTGCTTAAGTAATGTTTTACATCAACTTTGTATGCAGGATATTACACAAGACAGCCACAAAAAAGAGAGAAAGATGGAAACCTCTGTTCTGTTTCAAAAGTAAATGGAGAATTCATCAAATTTGACTGCCTTTGTTTGGTACATTATTTTACATTCAGATATGCAGATACTTAGGCAACTTCTACCTGTGTAAGGATCTGAGAACACATAGATGGTTACTGCTGAGTAGCCAAGCAAATCCATTTGCTTGGGAAATGTAACTTTGCAGACATGCATGCTTGAAGGAATGTGATTTTAAAGTTCAGATTATGCTAAACTATCAGTTTAAGTTCATAATATATTTAATATCTAATACAGTGAGATGCATAAAGGCACATAAGATAGCTGATGTATCATAATTTCAATTAATAGTATTTTTGGTTATGAATGGAATTAACTGTAGATTTCAGTGTGAAGAAAGATTAGGTGCAAGATCTGTATTAAAGCAAAAAAATTATCATTTAGGTAATCTGTGACATGTCAAGGGGCAGAAGCTATGTTTTGAGTTGAATATTACTGGAGAGGTCTTTGCTTACTTGACTGTCTTCTCAAAATCTCCTTTTATCCCACTTAAAATGGATACTGTTGTTGATATCAGCTGCTCCTGACTTGCTCACTTCTGTTGATGTGTGCTGTCTCCCTTCTTAAATCACCTGGGCAACTTTCTATGGTGTACATTCAAAGAAAATTATTTTGAACCCCAAACAGTAAGTTTCTTAGGCCTAAGAAATTTCAGCTCAAGTATTCTGATTTTCTTTAGATCCTTACAGTAACTGATGGTGGTAACTAAATACAATATGGACCTGTCAACTGATGGTAACTTCTGTAAAAGGAATCGGTTTACATTCATTGTAACAACTTGTCTGTTTTGTTTCTTTTCAATCCCACAGATGTATTTAGTGATTTTTCCAGAGGGGACTCGTTACAATCCAGAAATACCAAAAGTCATTGCAGACAGTCAATCATTTGCTGAAAAGGAAGGTAAGCAAAAAAAGTTTTGAAATAATTATTTTGTTACGGTGTTAACATATATTATATGAAATTGTTATATAACATGATCTCACCTTCACTGGACTATTAAGCCTGCCTGATTGATACTTACAGGTTAGAATAGTATAAGCCAGTGTTTGTGTTTCTCTTATCACAGAGTAGGATGAGAGTAGCTTATATACAGATACTTCATGCATTTCACATTGTGCAAAAGTATTACTTCTCACAAAACTTCTCTTTAGTTTCTATGTATATCTGTGTATTTATGGACACTTCTTTTTTTGCTCCTTCAGGGACATAAGAATTACCTACACTGGATCAGGGCACTGTTCTAAGTTGACACTGTAACTCCCATTACAGTTGTTACTTGATACAAAAAATATTTTGCCTAGAGATTGTTATGCCTTAAAAGAAAAAGTCTTTGATCACATCTTTTTTTAATTGCTGTCAGTAATATCATGGCTTCTTGGATTTGTTCCTCTCTCACCTTCCCGTCTCACCCTTCCTTGGTTGAACTTTATTCTGTAGTCACTTTGATTGTTGGCGTCGTCTCTGTAAGTACAGATGGAATTACTTCATCTTTGGAAAGGCTTGCAAAAAAACTAAGGGTCCCAAGCTTTTTCATTTTTCTCATATGCACAATACACGTAAACTTTTAAGTCCAACAGTTCAGTGAACATGTTTCCTGATTTTGTTTTTTCCTGTTGACCAAAAGTGAAATAATTCACTCTGAAGGTAAACAAAGAGTAACAAATAGGTCTGGTAAGTTCATTTCTGTGACACACTGAAATGAATTCACAAGTCTGTGAATCAGCCTGTTGATATCATCAAGCTATTAAGTATTGTTAGCTCTTGTCCAAAAGGATATATGCTTTTCTTCTCCTCCTTGGGAAGAATGGAATTTGTTTGCGTGTATGAGCAGGAGAGCTTAAGTCATAGTGTATTTATTCATGGCTTCAGTTTCCTGTCGGAAATGAAAGTCAAATGTTTCATTTAGGTTGGCAGTTCTTTGAGAGTTCAGAGGGGGTGTTTGATAGGGGTTTTTTTCCTCTCTCCTCTTTTTTTCAGGGAAAAGAAAGGGCTCTTGTTGTTGCCATTATTATTTTAATAAACCTCTTAATTATATCTTTACAGGCTGCAAAACAGTAAACCACTGCTTTTGTGCTTTCAGAGCACCTGTTCATTTCTTCTAGTCTTTTTCTCTCTGGTATTGGTCTGCTTTTATTTTGTAAGTGTTACTCTTTTTAAAACTCTCAAGACAAATATTTATTAAACAGGAAGCATCTCCTATTCTAGTGCAGAATCCTATTGATCTGCTTTTCCCCATTTCTAAATTCTCATTGTTGGTCTCTCCTCAACTTTTTATGTGGAAAGAATGGGAAGCAGTCTGTATTGGACCTTGCTCCCCAGCAAGTTCATGCGAGGATTGATACTTGCTTGAATTAGAGCATCCCTCGTACAAGTATGCTGAGAAGCAGGGATGGCTGACACTGAAAACTGCACACCAAACTATTCTGACGGCTAAGAGCCACGAGGCACATGCTAGTAAGAGGCACATACCAGCACATCAGGGAACCGGGAGGATGGGGAACTCTGCATGGCCACCAGTGGGAGATGATGATGACTCCCCAGGGTCCCACCACGCTGCTGTGCAGCGGTGCTGGCCCCAGCTTGCAGCTTTCACTGAGCAGCCCCAGTGCCACCATGGTCCTGGTTGCGTGCTGGGGCTGCAGCATGGGAGCCGTGACCAAACGCCTCACCAGTTGGTTGCGTGTGGATTGAGTCCTGGCTGCGCTCCTTGTAAGCGTGCGAGGGCTGTTATGTGATACTGCCGAGCTGAACTAAAAACACACACTTGCATGCTTGTCTAAAGATCCTTGGAGCTTATTATTTCCTACAGTTTTAGGAAAGGTAGTAATGCCCAGTAGTTTTGCGAGTCAGAGGAATGAGGATGTACTGTAACTTCTAGTTTAAAATTTGTATTTAATTCCTCATGAGAATATTAAGAAGTCTGATAATTTAGTCTTGTCGTCTTAGTATATTTGTTACAGAGCACAGTGCTGCAGTGTTGGCTTTACAGACATGCAGGGGATTTTTGTTTGTTTTATACCTTAAAATGTAAGCTTTATGATTTTTTCCTACATTTTTGCACAATTTATATGTTGAGAAAATAGTGCAAGTGTAATATTGGAAAAAGTAGTTTAATTAAGAAGAATTAAACTTCAAATTGATGTTATGAGCAGAGATACTGTACCCAAAGATAACAAAGCTGTTCTTAGAGCACAAGCATAACTCATGTTTATCATGCTGCCTAAAATACTGTTTTTGACACAAGTGTATGTATATGTTTCAGTAGTTTTGCAGAGAGGAAGTATGAAAAGGTTTTATGGGGTTTGTGTTTACTTTTACTCTCCATGGGCTGGATTCTTTTCTAGAGAAGTTTCATTGGTTTAAGAATTATTGGGCTGAACTTAATCACCTGGTCTTAGTGTGACCAGCTGATGAGCTGCATCTCATACATTGATGTTCTTTTTTTTTTAAGTAAACACCAGTTTTGGACACAGTTACTGTCTCTTTACGGTTGGTCCTAGGACCAGTTCAACAAAAAGAAATTAGAAAAAAAAAAGAAGAAAAGTCTTAGGTTAACATCCAAAGACATACTCTCACGTTACTGATTTCAACTTTTATGTCTTTCCTCATTGATATGAATATATAGATAAAGCTTATCTATCTGTGAATAGGATGGAAGGATATCAAACAGCAAAAGAATATAAAGGTGATTGAGGCTGCCCTTGAAAGAGGCAACTTTTTAAAATACTGGTAATATGTCATGTTACAGTTTGTTCTGCCATAGGACTTGGGTTCTTCACAAAACCTGGACTTCTAGCAAAAGCAGATGGATTTCCTCTTTCTGAAACACAGGCAAATCAAACACACAGGGTAGATCTGGATATGAATAAGTTGAGACTGAACGCTATAAAGCACAGAGAAACTTCTAGGGAAGGAGTAGAGCCAGGTACTTTCTTACTATTTTTAGAAAGAAATAAAGGCTATTATACAGTAAAAAATGAAACCCATGAACTGGTCTTGCAAATTTGTCATTAACTACCTTGCAAAGTTCAAGTTGAATGTACTGCCAAGATTTTGTTTATTAAAACTAAAGAATGCTAAAACCATCTAGAGGTAAAAATGATAAAATTAGGGCATTGATATTCCTGGTTTTCATGCTAGAGACTGGCATATGCGTATTAGCCTTCAGCATTGATGGATTTGACACAGCAAAACTATTCTAATTAATTTGAACTCTGTTTGAAGTTCTGTACACCATAACTGTATTCAGTGAAATAGAAAACAAATAGAATAAAATAGAAATAGAAAGTTGCATACTTCTATGAAGTACTTCCAGGAATACTGGCTTTATGGTGATAAACTGAGAATGTTATCATCTAAGGGTAATGCTAGTACCCTCAGAAACTGAAGATTACTCACTCTATATGTTTTACAAGTGACACAGAATTCCAGTTAGATCAGAGTTTTACCCAGGATAGAACAGGCAGCATTTTAAAATCAAAATACGTTTGATTGCATTGGGGAAGGAAAAATGCTCTTCCCAAAGTTCAAAAACAAAAATCACCTCTCTAAAACTGAGTTGTTTGGCTATTTATCATAGGGTTAATGCAGGAGTTTTTCATAGAAGTAGTTAAATTCTATGGAGTAGAGAAAATTAATCATGCATTTCTCTTTGTTGGCCAAAATAGCAGTATTTTCTGGGGTTTCACAGCCACAGCAAACCACATCAGCAATGTTGCCAGAATGTCAGATGACGTCCTCTGTTGGATTTTCATGTTTCTGTTGGAGGCAAATGAAACATTCCCCACTTCCAAGCCAATGGGGATACGTGCCATATAGCTGGATTTGAACCAGATGCTATTTGTTGTACTCTCCTTACAGGAAGGAGGTGACTGCATAAGGCAATTCCAGCAATCGCGATCAGGAAGGGCTCTCTTTTTCTCCCAGTTTCAGTGTAGTTGGTCACTAATGTGTTTCTAATGGGACATCTTGTAAGATTCTCATAGCAAATGAAATATTTCTCACTCCACTCTCTCTCGAAGATCGAAGAATGTGAAGGTATGTGTTTTGCCCCTTTTCTCCTGAGCTTTTGCCATCTAACTTCCACTACTTAAGTATGTAGTCAGTAATCTTAGTTTAGAGTTTGCTTTAGTTTTCCATTGTAAGGGAGCAGTTGGCTAACGTGATTCCTGTCTACAAAAACTGATCCAGTCATTCAGGTGACTTACATACTGGTAACGCCTTTTAGGCACTGATCTCTTACTTCAGGCATCTTAAAAGTGCAGCGATTATTCCATACTAGTCAGTGGGCTTGAGTCGCTGAATCCAGGGAATTATAATATGTAGATGACACTTCTATTTTCATAGGGATTTAACTGTAAGCCTGTCGTAATATTAGAAGTAGTAATTTTTATTTTGTAATATTTATTTCAAACTGTACATCTTCTAAGGCTGGATCTTTTTACTGGTACTAGACTATAGAACAAAATTTCTATGAAACCCACAAAATACATGATAATTATTTCTTGTACCAGCTTCTGGTATAAAATTTGTTCCATTTATATGTTACCAAAATACATATGTATAGATTTCTGATCGTTTTCTAGGAGTTGCATCCCAAAAAGAGGAAGTCAAGCAAATCCACCAAGAGGTCCCCATGGATGAACAAGGAGCTCCTGGGCAAAGTCAAACAAAAAAAGGAAGCCTACAGAGGGTGGAAGCAAGGGCAAATAGCCTGGGAGAAATACAGAGAAACTGTCCAAGCAGCCAGGGATCAGGTTAGGAAGGCCAAAGCCCTGATAGAATTAAATCTGGCCAGGGATGTCAAGGACAACCAGAAAAGCTTCTATAGGTATGTCAGCGGTAAGAGGAGGACAAGGGAAAATGTAGGTCCCCTCCAGAATGAAACGGGTGACCTGGTTACCCAGAATAAGGTACTCGGCAACTTCTTTGCCTCAGTCTTCACTGACAAA